AAAGCTAAAAGCTAAAAAGGATCAAATACCACACTAAAATGGTAAATTAAAAGCAACACCAAAAACATATTCAAAGCATTAAGACTCAAGAATCCCTTATCTTCCCATGGCTCTGGACACTTGCAATAATTGACTTCACTTCAGAATTTAAGCAAATAATGTATTTAAAAGAAATGTATTTATCATGAATAGGTTGATTTTATTAATAGCAAAGGGGAAAATCTCATAGTGAGTCAGTTTGTGGATTGCATAGATCTGAGGAAAACAGGAAAGCCAACTTAAGCGGCTTGAGAAGGAAATCAGGATTAAGACTCTACTCAACAGAAAGCCATTATTCCTGTTCAGAAAAAAAGGGACGTGGTGGCGCTGTGGGCTAAACCGCAGAAGCCTGTGCTGCAGGGTCAGAAGACCAAGCAGTCGTAAGATCGAATCCACGCGACGGAGTGAGCGCCCGTCGCTTGTCCCAGCTCCCGCCAACCTAGCGGTTCGAAAGCATGCAAATGCAAGTAGATAAATAGGGACCACCTCGGTGGGAAGGTAACAGCGTTCCGTGTCTAAGTCGCACTGGCCATGTGACCACGGAAGATTGTCTTCGGACAAAACGCTGGCTCTATGGCTTGGAAACGGGGATGAGCACCGCCCCCTAGAGTCGGACACGACTGGACAAAAATTGTCAAGGGGAACCTTTACCTTTACCTTTACCAACAGAAAGACATAGATGTGTGAAGGAAAACATGTTAAGTATAGGAACAAAGATCAGGAAAGAAGAACTAGTGTTTAGGAAATTATTTTTAAAAAGCGATTTGTTCTGTATTATGTTGGAATATTAATTTGAAACACACTTATGTGCATACAGTATACAGAAACATGGAACTCACCTATCTGCATTACCATCATCATCCTCTTAGAACAGTAGAGCTGGAAGGGACCATACAGATCATCACGTCCAGCCCTTGCCAAGGAGGCACAGTGCAGAATTGAACTCCTAGCCTCTGTCTCCCCAGCCAGTGACCTAAACCACTAAGCTATCCAGCAGTTGACTTGTTCTGTTACTTGTTGCTGTTGTTGGGTGGTTGGGTTTTGTTTTTGTTTTTTACTTGGGGAATCACAGGATTCATAGGGGAATGGCATAAAACTTGGGGAAAATGTTGTCAATATGCGTCTCTGTCTCCGCAGCCAGTGACCTAAACCACTAAGCTATCCAGCAGTTAACTTGTTTTGTTACTTGTTGCTCTTGTTGGGTGGTTGGGTTTTGTTTTGTTTTTTGTTTTTTACTTGGGGAGGTACAGGATTCATAGGGGAATGGCATAAAACTTGGGGAAAATGTTGTCAATATGCCAGCAACCAGAAAATGTTATTACAGCAATAATGTATTCCTACTCACCACATTGCTTCAGAAAGTAACTGCCCTAGGTCTTAATCACACAGACCATTAGAATAATTTCCTGTTCCTCTTTCTTAATATTGATGGTATATATGGTCACGTGATATATATACACCGCTGGGCCTGTTCACATAGCTGTAAGTTCAATTGGCACAGTTCTTGCTACAGTATTTGTACAAATTATGTAGACTACGTGTGCCATCTTATATAAACAGAGTCTACTGCCATAAAATTTTCTTTTAAAATATTGTAAGTGATATATTGCTAAAGCGGCATGTACATGTAATTTTTCTGTCATTTCCAGCTGTTAGTTGATGCACCACTTGGTGGGATTTGTCACCAGATAAATGTAGAACAGCATTAAAAAGGACTTGAATTGTTGTTAAAAAAACTAGGGGGGGATATTAATTATAAGCCACACAGAAGCAGGAACAATGCTTACAATAGGGAAGGAATTGGCCAGGTAAAGCGTTGTGGAGAAAAAATATAAAAGAAAAAGTAAGTGATCCGTTGCTAAGCATTTAAAAAACACACAAAGAAATATGAGTACAAGCACAGTAATCATGCAGTGGCCATACACCCCAAAACCTGACCAGTTTGCAAAATAAATCAACAGCAATGTTCACACATGCTGAAACAACAAGGATTGAAGAGATACAGGGATCAGTTCATTTTTAAAAGGTGCCAGTTGGCTGGCCAAATGAATTGATATTACATGTGCATTGCGTGAACAGAAATGTATAAAATAATGTAAATAATGGCAGAATAAATATAACTGGGTGTTGTTGTTGTTCATAAGGATGTGATCACATCCTTATACTCTTTTATATCCCTGCCCCCTTTACTAGCTAATTATGAATGACTAAAATTATCCTGAAAATTATCCTGAAACTCATTATTTCCAAAGTCTGGGAAGGATTCTACACAATAGGATTTGCTTATGGAAGCAGAACAACACCAGAAACTAAGAAGTGACTGGGGACTGTGGAAGGAACACAAGAATCCCAGAGACCTTCGGGTAGTGTGGGCGGCATATAAGTTAAAATAAATAAATAAGAATCCATGAGCCACTCCAGTTAGAAGAGGGGGAAATGGAATGCAGGTTAATCCTCCCCAGACGCCAGCTCCATTAGCCTTTTTCCGGAAGGAAAATTTCTGCCAGCTGTTCATTCCACCAAGCTAGGAACCTCCTAACATTAAGATCCTGTGCTTGAGCTTTATTGCTTTTCCTTTCCCCCCCTCCAAGATCCCTTTTCCATTTATCTTTGTAGACAGCGTGCCTGAGGGTTTTGTCTTCTTTTATTAATATGTTGAATGACTGGCAATCTTTTGTCTAGTAAGACTAGGAGAGATGCTGAAATCAAAACCATGAGAGGTGGAATCCAGAACATAGTTTTAACAAAGGAACCTGGCCTGCAAATCTGGCCATGATTTTTGCGACTTTTATGTGTGTGTTTTTTCCTCACTATTCATAGCCACATGGTGCGTAGCCTGGCCAAGTCAAGGGCTAACTTATGTTTGTAATTTTTAGTGGCCTAATGAAGGTATCACCCATGCCTGCCTTTAGATTCCATACAAGGACCACACAGCTTTTTTCTTCCCCAACTTTATGTTGGGGGGGGGAATTAGAATTCTAACAGAACTGTTGGGCACCTTAAAGACTAACAGGTTTATTGCAATGGGTTATGAATGAATACTAAAAATCCCTGGGGAAATTATTATAAATAAAATAAGTGAGGAACTGATGTGGAAAGTAGCCAAAAAAGGCTGTGTAACACGCCCTCCTCCCTCTGGATCTTTCCAATGCTGTATTTAAAGCCAAAGTTATATTTATAGAGGAATGGTTCCCTAAAATGGGGTCCCAGATGTCTGTGGACTATAACTCCCCAAAAGTCTGAGCATTAGCTATACTAGCCAGGGCTTCTTGAAGTTATAGTCCAGAAATATCTGCAACCTCAGATATTTGGGATTCAGTACTCTAGTCTAGAGTACTGGTTCCCAAACTTGGGTCACCCAGGTGTTCTTGGACTGCAATTCCCGGAAACCCCAGGCAGCACAGATGGTAGTGAAGGCTTCTGGAAAGTGCAGTCCAAGAACACTTGGAGTACCTATGGGAGGAAACTACTGCTCTATAGGGTTCCTAAAGGAGTAGCCAGCCACATTAGTCCATTTCAGCATGTTGGCAAAATTAAAAAGAAAAGACAGAAAAAACACAAAAAGATCAAATAGTGCAAGACTTGAAAAGACTATCAGATTTGTTTCAGTGTGAGTTTCCTGGATTAAAATACACTCACTGGAATTGTGTTACCCTTATCTTTAGGGCTCTTTGTTTTTCCCTTTTTAATATTTTAACATGTACAGTACTAGAGGGCAAAAACATGTGATAGTCTGCTGAAGTAAAACCAAAAACTGCAACAAGAGGGTTGGTGGGCCTCTTAAAAAAACATGCCTGGTCCTATCATCACACAGTAGTGTAAGGTAGCACATCTGTCAATGACAGAATGTGTCTCTTTGTTTGTGTGTGTGTGTACAGCATTAAGTTGGAACTCACTTGTACCACCCTTAATAGGGCTTTCAGGGTAGGTCAGATACTTAAGGCGGGGAGAACACATCTCTCCAGAGTCAGGGTTCCCAGTGTGGTGTAGTACACAGAATAATGGGCTAGGACTCTGGAGAAGCCCCGCTCACTGGAAATTCACTTGGGGAGCACAACAGCTACAACCACTCCTTAAATAACTCATTTACCTTGAAAGCCCTATTAGGGTCGCTATAAGTCAGTTCCGACTTGACAGCATAGAACACACACAGTGTTGACGACAACCTGGTCGTGTGGCAACTCAGAACTGAGTGGATGGGTACATGGGGAATTCATTCTGTAGTGGCTGGGAGGAGATGATGATGATCTTAGAATTGCAGAGCTGCAAGTGACCTGGATACCAGCCCCGGACAAGGAGGCCCAGTGCGGGATTCAAACTCCCAACTTCTGGCTCCGCAGCCAGAGACCTCAACCCTTGAGCCATGCAAGAGCTAAGAGGGAGTGCCAGCATTTAAACAGCTATACGTGTATAGTGTAGCTATGCCGTTTGTCTCCCGGTCAGGACTTCAGGGTCATCTTGAATTGACCATTTTGATGAACCTTTACTTCCATATCCGTAAAATGGAGTGCAGTTCAGTTTCTTCATGTTTGAATTATCTACTGGCTAACATCTCTCAGGGGGACGTGGTGACGCTGCGGTTTATACCGCAGAAGCCTCTGTGCTGCAAGGTCGGAAGACCTGCCGTCGTAAGATCGAATCCACGCGACGGAGGGAGCTCCCATCGCTCGTCCCACCTCCTGCCAACCAACCCGTTCGAAAGCATGTAAAAATGTGAGTAGATAAATAGGGACCACCTCGCTGGGAAGGTCACGGCATTCCATGTCTAGTCGCGGTGGCCACATGACCACGGGAAACTGTGTTTGGACAAACGATCGCTCTACAGCTTGGAAACAGGGATGAGCACCACCCACTAGAGTCGGACACGACTGGACAAAAAATTGTCAAGGGGAACCTTTACCTTTACCTAACATCTCTCAAACGTTTCTTAAAAGCTGCTGTTCCACGGCGAGCTCGCTACTTTCACGAGCTTCAGCTGCCGAGGCGAGTTGCTTGCGCTCGGTACATGAACACTTTGTACTACCGCTCGCCTGCTATGTGCTACGCTTCTGAACCCAGACTGACGGCGCTGGAGATGCCCAAGATCCCTGCAAGGCCGGAGCCCACGGGGCCCCAGTACTTTACCTTTGATCCTCTTCCGCAGGTCGAGATAAGCCCAACTCATAGGAAAGTCTCTAAGACGAACAGGATCAAGAAGCGATCCCGGAGGGTCCTCTATCCCCCAGTGGTAAGTCAGAGTGTTTGTACCCGAACAGAAGTGGAGTTGAGTGTCTTGGGCTAACGCGACTCCTGGGTTCATTTGAAGGAAGCTTTGATTTTTCCAGGGAGAGAACAGAAAGGATAGAATCCCAGGTCTCCTAACAAAAATACATGCTATCTTTTCTTACACAGAAATAAGCCCCACTCCAGTTCATTGGGGCATACTCCTAAATTATAAAAAAAATAGGGCCTTAGGGAGGGCAACAGTCCAAGAGCAGTAGGCTGTCCAATAAAGACTAATTGTAAATGATTATAGTTGTGATTTTAAAAAAATGGAAGGCACTTGTGGGATAGAGTGTAAGGGCTAAGATCAGTATTCTGGGACATTCACTATTGCTCTCTGTCTCCTGTAAAGGTGAATGAGAGAAGCTAAACTGTTCCAGCCTCCTTCCTTTTGCCCCTGGCCAGCTCTTGATCTCTGGGGGTTCCTGCATCTTTGATAATTGCATGGTTGGTTGAGATCCAACAGGTGACGCTTTCCCTATCACTACATCTGCAGAGTGATGCAAGCTTTTGACTTTGTGCCAAGCCGCTATCCAAAAGGCAGGATGCTTGCAAATAATAATACTAATAAATTAAAAAGTCTAGGTGGAGTGCCTCTTATTTCCATACTGAGCCTTGCCAAAGGAAAAAGGTGGTGATCTTATCTCCATGCTGAGTCAGCTGCTGGTTGAGAAACACTTCACAGGCAGTTGCTACCTAATTACTTGATTCAGCCTGTTGTGGGCCCTTTCCTCTGTGCAGACCTGCAGAGATTAGCTGGGACCTTGACTTGTGCACTGAATTAGATTTCCCTTTGCCTCAAGTAGCAAAGACTCTCTAGTATAGCCGCAAACCAGCTTGATGCAGTTGGCCACATTTGGTGGCTTTCTTGAGTATTCGATCTGAGCAAAGCAATCATAAATTGGAGCAGAGCTGAATAATGGGAAGGTGAGGCTAGGTGAAGTGAAAAAGAACAGTGAGTTTCAAGGAATGCTGTGTTCCTTGGGAGAGGAAAAGATGCACGGACATCAGGAAAAACATATAGGTTGAGAAAATGAAAATATAAAAGACCGCTGACTTTTGGGGGGGGGGGAGAGAAATGCTGCCCTGGGACTGGCATTATTAACTGAGAAGGATTCCAGGACAGATGTTGGAAATGTTACTCCATTAGTAATCCCACCATCCCCCAGCCATGCAGCCTGGAGGATTCTGGGAGAGGAAACTCCTCAGTTTTTTCCCCAAGCTCTTAACTGCAGACACAGAAGAAAGTGCAAAGAATTTTGGGACATCCTCTGGTTTTTTTGTGCCTATAACTATTTGCATTCATTTGTATTCACAGGCGAAACGCTACTACCCCACAGAAGAACCCAGCTATGCCAAACGCCTTCTCTTTATCCTCCTTGCTATCGTCCTCTTCCAAATCTACAATGCTGAGGAGGAGCTCCCCGCCGTGGCGCCCTCCTTGAGCACAGAAGAAAACACCTCCAGTTGCTTCTCAGAGATAACAGAATCCAGCAGAGAACCCCTTCCCCTGGAAGAGCCACTTCCTACAGTATTCTCTGTGGAGATCATGGAGGGGGACAATATGACCAGCTGGTACTGGGAAGAGGAGGTCTCCGAATCTGCTGTTGACATCACCCAGTTTTTGGAGCAGAGCCCAGCTGCGTTTTGAAGGTTCTCAAAGGGGAAAAAAACTGTGAGGAAGGCAACAAGTTCAGAGGTTACTGTTGCTGTTCAGGAGGACTCTGACTTGAGAAGAAAGTGACTTTCTTCTGAGTAGGACTTGAGCCATCGATTACTTAATGGCACTGGGAACCCAGCCAACTCCTTCCGGCACTCTGGCGGAAGTTTCCTCTTAATCAGCACTTGCGACTGACGTCAAACAGTACTTGAATTGAACTTACACTACATTTGTAATGCTGGGAGGCAGAAGTTCCTTCTTTCTGCCCCAAGCAGAAAAGGGATATTTAATAATTTAATATTTATTTATTTATGTAATAATAATATTAAAATGATGAGGATAATAATAATATGTAAATTAAACTGACTTTATTCAGAACTGTGTACACATGAGAGTTTGCAGGAAAAAATGCTAGCTTATGTGTTACACTGAATGTTTTAAAAATTGTAGTTTGTGTCTCACTGACAGGACAGAATTAGAACTGAAATTGTGTGATTCCAGTTATATTGTTGGAAATGAAATTAATGTGGAAAAACCAATTACTACTTGATTTATAACCTGCACTTTTCTGGAAGGCTCATCTTGGTGTAATGAAGATTAAACTACAGTTGAGATTTTGGGAGATAGAGTTAATGGTGCTTGTAGAAGTTTTGGGGAAATTGTTTTTTGTGATAGGTAATAAAACTATCTCTGACAGGCTTAATTTATATGTGACATTTCTGAATCCAAGGGTTAAGACAGTACTACTTGTTTGCTTCTCGGTACAGGGGAAGATCTTTTAGGACACTTGACAAGTCTTTTTGGAGAAAATGCAACATCTATTTCATGGTGTGTGTTTTTCTGCTCTGGATATTGGCCAGTAATGTCCCTTGTTACAGTGTTTTGCTTACTGTGTAAGTATGGCACTCTCAGAAACAGTGACCACATCCAGACCAACATTCCTGAAATACTAGTAAATTCCTTTTGTAAGTTGCACTTTGTGTGTCCACCCTATTCCAGATAAATTGTCTGAAATCTGTATGTTCTGTGAACAAATGAATAAATGTTTTTACATGAATTCTTTGTCTGGCTGAGAAGTCTGTGGAGGAAGTGTGGTGGGAGATGAACATACAGCAAAAAAAGGTCTACCAGAAGGCATTTCTGAGAGTCATGAACATATGTATCCAGTTAAGTACTGGGGCAGATGGTCCCTTTCTGGGATTGCAGAAGGTAATGAAAAGCACTGGGACTGCTTCAGTTTCAACACATATCAGAGCTGCTTCAATTTCAACACATATCAGTTTGCTGCTAGTTCAAACTTCCCTTTAAATGCATCTTCAATTAATTCATTCCAAAAGTGGAACAGCAATTGATAAATTTAGCAGATCAAATAAGTGTAGAAGAAGAATGATTGGAGCAGATTAAAATAAATGGTATAGTTAAGGTGAAAAGAAAATATAATATACAGGATGGCTGTGGAGCAGTGGTTCTCAACCCAGGTGTTCTTAGACTGCACCTCCCAGAATCCTTCACCACTAGCTGTCGACTGCACCTCCCAGAATCCTTCATCACTAGCTGTGCTGGCTGGGGCTTCTGAGAGTCTCAGTCCAAGAACACCTGGGACACCCAAGGTTGGGAACCAATGCTTATTAAATTGAGTGGGTGGGAAGCTATTTTCTTATTAAGCAAGAATGGGTAATCTGGTTTGCTTGGAACGTCTGGATTGCAGCTTCCATAAATCTTAGCCATTCATTATGCTGTTTAGGGCTGATGTGGATGGCAGTCCAATGACACCTGGACAATTCTGAGTTGCTCTTTCTTGTACTAGAGTAAACCAGGGGTTCTTATCAGGGATTACTAATCAAAGGGCAACAGAGGTGTGTTCTGTTGGTAAGAGAGTCATAGAAAATTACATTTTTTCTTATCTATGGAATTAGTTACACAGATTATCTGTTAAGTAATCTTATGAATAGCACAAGGGTGGTGTCAGTAATATCATTGAACAAATTATGTTAGATACTTTTTCTTAATTTCAAAGTTGCATGAACCAATAAGAAAGCTGCTTAAATGTAGACTCGATAGCTAAGCAATACTTCAGATTAACCCATATAATCAGCCACAAGGGCATGTCACCAATGGGAACAAACAAAACAGGCTATGCCTATAGTATGTGGAGAGAGGAGAGCTGTAGGTGGTTTATGTACATAAGTTAGGCTACATATTTCAAGGGCATCCAGAACCAAACAAGGTTGTTAACCAATCTGACCTTGGATGAGGCAATTATGAGCTTGGGGGATACAAAAGTAGAAAGATCACACTTGCAAAGTCATTTGTGCATATCAAGACACAACAGTGTTTCTGACACCAGAGGAAGTTAATGATACCTAACTATGGTAATTCTTTTTTATGTTTTTGGATACTCACCTCCCATAAATTCCTGAATGAACATGCAGACCTATTTACAGATAATGATCTTACAACTGCAGTGCTGGAAGGGACTTTATGGATCACCAAGTCCAGCCCCTGTCAAGGAAGCACAAGTAGGGAATCAAACTCATGACCTTTGGCTTCTCAGCCAGATACCTAAACCACTGAGCTACCCAGTCTGTTAGATAGTTAAACTTAGACTAAATGTCCTATGCCGGAGCAGAAACCATCTCCATCACCCCTGAGCCATGTTCACCCCAGTGTTCCCAGACTTTATTGCAGTCATTTTAATGATATTCTTCCTCTAAGGCAGCCTTCCTCAGTCTGATCATTCCAAACATTCTGGACTAATCTAATCTATCACATTCGTTATATTGGTAAGAGCAGATAAAAAGGGCATGAGGTTAGGAAAGGCTGTTCTAAGGAGCTAATGGTGATCATGAGGTTAGGAAAGGCTGTTCTAAGGAGCTAATGGTGATATGCATGGTCCTGTCATCCAGGCAGCCATTTTATCCCCACCATAACCTTTCTTCAGAGAGAACACAGAGGCCTTTTGTGCTATGGCTTCTCATTTGCGGAATGCCGTCCTTCAGAAGGCCTGAGCGGAGTTGATGTTGGCCTCATTTTGGTACTAAAATAAAAACATAGCTCTTCACCCAAATGTTTGGTGACCGAAGTGTCTGTGGCTCAGTCCTGACCTGTTAAAGACTGTGGTTTTCTCTAGATTTTAAAAATCTTGTTTAATTGTTTCAAACGGTGGTTTTATTATCTGTCCACCATCCTGAGATATGTAGATTCAGAGCAGGATACAGGTATATTTTATTATATAAACATTTTAATAGAATTACTAATAAAACAAATTTGTGAGGTAAATTAGTCTGAGGATTACTATTAGTCAGCTTCAGAGTTGAGTAGGGCTTTGGACATAGGTCACCCTGGTTATATTCTGACACTAACAATATCACATTGGTTCATGCAGCATTTCATATATGTTGAGTACAATCTGTGTGTGGAGCTCCACAGCTGCTTTGATGCCCTCAGAACTAAGGAGAATGAAGGCCAATCATTCCTGAAACCCTATTCTGAGCAAAAGATGTAGCAAGAAGAAATTGTTTTCCAGAAAAGATAAGACTAGAATTAGTATCTTGTGACTGGAGAGGAAAAACCTAATGAATCAGAGGAAGCTAGGGGCACATTTTGATAAGGTTATGAAGCTTGGAAAAGTTACTTTTTATATATTCCAGTTGCCACCATGGCAGTGAAACTGTAGTCCCAAAGTACTTTTTCCAAAATGTGGTTCTGAGTTGTTTGAAAGTAGAGCCTAGAATCATCACTTTCTAGACAGAGGGTTGGAATGGTTGCTTTTTTGGACTACAACGCCCAGAATCCCTAGTTCGTATGGCCATACTGATGGGGAAGATCAGGAGAATCTGAAAGCAAAATTTTCTAAGCTCTGTTCCTGAAGGCTTAAGGATGACCTAATTAGTATGGCCATACTGATGGGGAAGATTAGGAGGAGTAATTCCCCTGAAAGCAAAATTTACTAAGCTCTGTTCCTGAAGGCTTAAGGATGGAAGGTTACAGTAGATTTGGGTGTAATGAAGAATCTGAACTGTGAAAATCCTCGTGCAGAAGTCATGAGGAAACATCAGGTATATCAGAACCATTTTGTTGTTTTTACTACAACTCTAATGTCCACCAAAGGAAGAAAGATCTGAAATGGCAACTTGCTGGCAGTGGGAGAGAGTATTAAGTCAAACCCAGTACATTGGTGCAGGGAGTGGAAATACTAATTAATCACCTGTTGTGCCAGATGAGCCTCACACAGGGTTCATCTGTTTAAAGGTAGACCTGGATTACTGTGATTAAGCAGGAATTTTACCAATGCGCTTTAGAAGAAAGAGGCTTTTACTTGTCTCCTGTAACTTGTTCATTCAGATATTCACCTTCTGCTACACCCGTCAACCTTTTGACCACACCACCTGTACTAATAGCAAACTGATTATTCTTATACACCCCAAACAGCATAATCTATGAACAAGACGGAAGTATAAGCAGTTTGAGAAAAACCTGCTGGGAGGAATATTATAGAAAAAAGACAGCACAATTGTTTAAAGGGAGATAGATTGGAATATAGTACTAGGGGCATAACTGGCTGGCAGGAATCCTGAACAGTAGCTCTCCTAAATGGTATAAATCAGAGAACAATGCCTGTGAATATGGATGTGGAGTGAACAAAATGTGCACACACCCCACAACAAAATGCCTACTTTATTTTGTTCTTTAGTCGTTAAGTCATGTCTCACTCTTTGTGACCCCATGGACTAGAGCATGCCAGACCCTCCTGTCTTCCACTGCCTCCCGGAGTTGGGTCAAATTCATGCTGGTAGCTTCGATGACACTGTCCAACCATCTCATCCTCTGTCATTCCCTTCTCCTCTTTCCTGCACACTTTCCCAAGATCAGGGTCTTTTCCAGGGAGTCTTTTCTTCTCATAAGATGGCCGAAGTACTGGAGCCTCAGCTTCAGGGTCTGTCCTTCCAGTGGGCACTCGGGGTTGATTTCCTTCAGAATGGATAGGTTTGTTCTCCTTGCAGTCCAGGGGACTCTCAAGTCTCCTCCAGCAACACAATCCAAAAGCATCAATTCTTCGGTGTTCCAGCTCTCATTTCCATACATCACTACTGGAAAAACATAGTTTTGATTATACGGACCTTTGTCGGCAAGGGGATGTCTCTGCTTTTTAAGATGCTATCTAGGTTTGTCATCGTTTTCCTCCCAAGAAGCAGGTGTCGTTTAATTTTTGTCGCTGCTGTCACAATCTGCAGTGATCATGGAACCCAAGAAAGTAAAATCTGTCACTGCCTCCATATCTTCCCCTTCTATTTGCCAGGAGGTAATGGAGCCAGTGGCCATGATCTTAGTTTTTTTTTTATGTTGAGCTTCAGACCATTTTGGTGCTCTCCTCTTTCACCCTCATTAAGAGGTTCTTTAATTCCTCCTCACTTTCTGCCATCAGAATGACATCATTTGCATATCGGAGGTTGTTGATATTTCATCCGGCAATCTTAATTCCGATTTGGGATTCATTTAGTCCTGCCTTTCGCATGACATATTCTTCATATAAGTTAAATAAGCATGGAGACAATATACGGCCTTTTCATACTTCTTTCCCAATTTTGAGTTTTTTCATATCCAGTTCTAACTGTTGCTTCCTGTCCCACATATAGATTTCTCAGGAGATAGACAAGGTGTTCAGGCACTCCCATTTCTTTAAGAACTTGCCATAGTTTGTTGTGGTCCATACAGTCAAAGGCTTCGTAGTCCATACAGTCAAAGGCTTCGTAGTCAATGAAGCAGAAGTAGTTATTAAATGGGAATGGGAAATGCCTGATGATTGTCAATCCTATGAAAAGGCAGCCCCATAAATGTATTCCACCAATATCTGAAAGGAAAGTCTAAATAGGAAGAGTCACCCCCTGTTTCATCAATGATGTGGTTTTTGGTTTTTCCAATTAAAAGGGGAGAGTGGGCAGCAAAGTGAAGGGAGATTTTTTAAAATGTTTTAAAAAATCATCAAGCTGGGGAACATTTAGAAAATTCTGTGAATAGGCTGAAGGATAAATTAGTAACAATAGTCAGAGAGAGACA